GAGGTGCCGTGTGGCTTGCCTCCGCTTGGAAGCCACCAGGAAGAGAGGCCTGGCCACCCTGGAAGGAGGGCCGAGACATCAAAGGACACCGACAAGATTAAAAATAACCTGGCAGCCTGAGGCCCTGCAGGGCCCATTTGCAGCCTCCAGGCTGGTCTACGGAGCCGAGGACATGGGTTTGGCAAAACTAGTATGGACCTGACCTTTCACGGCCAGAGACACCAGCCCCTGGGGAAGGGGATCTGCCTGCTCTCGGAACGGCCCTCGAGACCCCAGCCCACCCCAGGCTCCGAGCCTGCGGGGCCCACCATGTGGAACCACTAGCTTGGGTTGTAAATGTTTTTTTGTTTTGTTTTTTTCTTTCTCTGGGATGTGGGAGCTACAGAAATATTTATAAAACATAGCTTTGTCTTTGGGGTGGCTCGCCTCAATTCCTCTTTATATATTTTATATATATAAATATATATATATAATGATCTATATTTTAAACAAGCTTTTTAAAAACAGCTGTATGAAATAAATGCTGAGCGAAGCGCGGCCCGCCCCTGCAGTTTCTGCCCTCCTCAAGTGAACTCGGAAGACCCCGGGGCTGGGTTCCGGGGCAGGCAGCTTCCCATTGATGTCCCCGGCCCCCCGCTTCCCTGCCTGGCTCTGGCCCCGGTCTCCCTGTAAGATCTCTTGGTCAAGGGCGAGGACAGACGTCTTGAAACATAAACCCAGCTGGCAGATTCTTTGTTCCTCGGGGACACACATGCAGGCGCGCATAGCCCAGCGGTGTCGTCAGACCCCCTAAGCCAGCTCCGAGAGGAAACCTGGCCCGGGAGCTGGGGACGAGGACCTCAGGGAGGAGGTGGCAGACCCAGGCTCCGCCAGCCCTGGCGTGTTTTCTGGGTGACTGTGGGGAAGGCTTTTCCCCTCCCTGAGCCTCAGTTTCCCCATGTGTAAAGCAGGCGGTAGAGATTGAGGTTGGCCGTTAGAGGCTGCAGCCTCCTGCCTGGAGCTGGCTGGCTGCAGGGGGCTGGGGAGACGAGCTGGGTTCCCGTTCGGGTTTGGAGGCGGAGCCATCAGGGTTTCTTCTCTTTCTGGAGGCGGGATGAGGGCAAGGAGGAACAGAAAGTGCTGGAAGCACTGAGGCCGGGCGGTGGGGCGGCTGGGGGTCAGACGGGACACTTCGGGGTTGTGATGGTGACCCGGCCCCAAGTGGAAGTACTGAGCAGATGGGCGATAGTTGAGTGTGAAGTTCCAGGGAGAGGCTGGGGCTGAGATGCACATTTAGGCACCGTCACTAAGGGGCGGGACAGAAAAGCACAGTGGACCGAGGCCTGACCTCCACAGGGAGATGAAGAGGAAAAGAGGCAGAGGCTGAGAAGTCACAGCCAGGGGATGGGGGAAACTGGGCCCCCAGCTACTGCCACGTGTAGACAGGGTCTCGAGGGGGCAGGCTCTCAGTGGGCACAGCACTGTCCCTCTCTGAGCTTTGGCTTCCTTTCCTGGCAAGTGAATGGCCCTGAGGAGCAAGTGAAGGGTATCCTCGGCCCCCGGGCCCCCAAAGTGGAAGCAGTTATCAATATTCGTCACCTGTATCTTGCTCTGGCTGTGGGGTGACCACACCAGACCGAGGATGAAGAGAATGTTGTAAACTGAATTTCTGTGTGGGGGGGAGGAGACATGAATGTGGAGAGAGGGCGTTCCCCTGCCCAGAGCCAGCTAGGACACTGCCCAGAGGGTCTGCGGCGTGGTATGGCACGGACACACCCCAAGGCTGGACCGATGGCAGGGCGGGAAGTGGGAGGGCTATGTGGCTAGGACGTCCTCTGAGTCCTTGCCTGAAAGCTTGCAGCACAGTGGCCAGAATCACGGAATCACAGGCTGGAAGGAACCTCAAGATAAGTGTTCTGGTCTCTCAATCTGTTTAGCCGAAGAGGAAATTCCAAGATGGGACGGGCCTTTCCTGTGGTCACAGAGTCGATAAGGGGCTGGAGTCTGGTGGTGGGGTTGTGGGGCATCCCCGGGCAGGAGTCCTGCCAGCGTCTCTGCAGAAAATTCAGTCTTCATCAAACAAGCCCCTGGAGTGTGCTCTCTCCCAGGCCCAGGGCTGCCCCTACTCCACAGCCTTCATTGGCTCCCATGGCCCACAAAACCAATCCCAGATTCTCTGGCCTGGCACACAAGGCCCCTCCCCCAGGGCCAGGTGACTCTTCCAGCCGCATCGCCGGGAACTCTGCAGGCCTCCTTCTGCTCCTCCGCACATGGATACTGAAACCTGACTGCCGGACCTGCCTCTGGGCGTCTGCTGTTGTCTGCAGGCCTGGAATGTCATTTTCCCTGTTGTTCCCCCTCAGCCTTCACAGCCATCTCCACGGAGCCTTTCCTAGTGCCCTGGGTGGAAGGGATCTCCCCCTCCGCGGGCTCCCTACCATCCTTTGAACCTTTAAGGCAGCCGTCGCACTCATGCTCACAGTGGCCAGCCACTGCCTGCTCTTCCTTCAAGGCCCAGCTGAATGGCCTCCTCTTCCAGGAAGACTTCCCTGGTCACCCTCAGCCTGGGCCAGTGGCCTCCTCTGGGTTCCCATGGCCCCTGTGCTCCTCTCGACATTGCACTGAGCCAAGGCGTTGTGGAGGTCGTGTCATGTCTGTGTCTGCCCCCCACCTGTCTGGTCTTTCTCCTGTGCTAGAACGAGCCTAGTGCAGCCGTGGGGCCCAGGGATCTGGGGGCAGCACACTCAGCTGAGTGCTTGCCTCAGAAATGTTGGGTCTGGGGTTGTCCTTTGGACCTTAACCAGGACAAGCAGATGGGGACACCAGACCAAGGACCCAGAATGACTCTCAGAAAGGGTGGTCTTAATATTACAAATGCTACCCTTTGCGTGCACCTACTGTGTGCTATTCCACACACACTGTCCCAGGCGATGACAGCAGGCCCCAGCGGGGATTGTTACCTCCATCTCACGGGAGGACAGTGGGCTCAGAGAGGGGAGGCAACTTGGCCCAGATCTCATGGTGAGTCCCCAGCAGAGCAGGGCCACGGGACCAGGTGTGTCTGACACCAAACCCCGCTCCCTTCTCATGCGTCCTTGCTCCAGCCAGGCTGGGGGAGAGCTGCATGGAAGGCAGAAGCTGTTTCTGGCTCAGGACAGGAGACCCGCAGGGCCGCTGACTCAGTGGGCCTGACGTACCCACCACTGGCCAGCGCCCAGGCCTGCAACGAAGGCCTCGCCTTTCTGGCTGGTCAGGGGCTGGGCAACCCAGGGGCCTGGAGAGCTGTCCCTGGACCGCCCCTCGCGGCCAGGTCAGGGCTCCGAGCAGCAGCCAGGCTGGGCCCCCTCAGGTGAGGTGGGCCGGGGGGTCCCCCAGTGTGAATCCCAGAGCCCCAGGATCTAGGGTCTCAGCATCGCAGTGTGTTCAGAGATTTAGAGCCATAAAATCCTGGTACCTTGTCCTTTGGGAGGAAAAATCCTCCAGCCATTGCCTTGGAGGCCCTTCGAGGCCCCAGGCCAATAGCCACGGCGGAGAAGTTCGAAGGCCCAGGTACTGACCTGCAGGGTGGGAGTGCTTGTTGCCAGCAGGATCCCGACCCCAGCCGGCCTCCACCTCCTCCCTCCTAAGGGGGCGGCCATCCCGGACTGGGCTCTGTGACCCCCAGAAAGCCCTGGAGACGTGGAAACTCCCCAGGGATAAGAGCATAGCACATTGAGGAGGCTTCTGAACCAAGCGTGGGAGGCCGGCTGGAGACCTGGGAGAGACAGGCCTGGGGAGAGACACGGAGGCGGCGAGAGGAAACAGGAACTCTCGAGAAGAGGGAGAGATTAGTTTGGTGGGAAAGGAGGGAACGGACAGATAAGGCCCCCTGGGGAAGGAGGCCAGGTCAGGCCAGAAGGACAACTAAGGGGGCCCCGAGCCCAGGGGGGCCGGAGCAGGCTCATGGTCTGTTGTTCCTCAGGCCGTGGAGACCAGCTGCTGGGTTATACAGACCAGGCCTCCAGCAGGATGCAGGCCCCAGCCCAGGACCCCAGACCCCAGAGAGGCTGCGTGGGGTGGGAGGAGGCCGAGGCTGGGGGGCAGGAAACCCAGCATCTTTTCTATCCTCTTGCTGTGTGATTCCAAGCAGCCACTGGCCTGCTCTGGGCCTCTGCAGCATGTGCCTCATTTAATTCTCACAACCGTTTTGAGGGGTAGGGCCCAGTATCCGTTTTATTGATGAGGAAACTGAGGCCCAGTGAGAGAAGCAACTGGCCCAAGGTTAAGGGCCACACATGGCAGAGCGGGCATTCAAGCCTCAGACTGCCAGGCTCCAAGTCTGTGATGGGCATCCCAGGGACGGAGGTGGCCTCTGGCTGAGTGGATAGTTGACCCTGAGCCATTTGCACTGGGTCTGGAAAGCTGAGGAGGATTTCAAGAGATGGAGAAGGAGGTGAAGGAGGGGGTCGACATGAGCAAAGGCACGGAGGCAGGGTTTGCTTGGAGGATGACAAGAAGTCGGGTGTGGCTGGAGTTCAGGGGCCTGTGGGCACCAGGGCAGCACAGGTCCAAGCCAGGCTGCCTCAGGCCCTGGGCTAGTACGTCAGAACCAGGTTGCCTAAGGTCACCCCCAGGTGGGCACTAGCCACTGGCTGGTCCAACCACCGCCTAACTGCTAGGCACCCACCCACCTGCCGAGATGGCTGGCATCAGGAGAGCAATTTAACAGCCCACATTTAATGGTCCCTTTGCTCCCATAGAGCAAATCAATATCCGCTCGGCTCACCAGGCTATGGCTGCTGAACACATTCTCCTTACGGGCCCCTGGGTCCCTCTGCCTCACCTGCTGGGCTCCAGAGGGGCTGAAGGGCTGGGGCAGGGTGGAGCGGGTGGGGGCAGGTGACCCGTCACACAACCATCCCAGACACCCCCATCCAGGGGGCAGGAGGACCAGCCCTGGCCACAGGCTGGCAGGTGGGGACAGAACCTGCCAGAGGCCCAGGCCCCGGAGCTCCTAGACGGGGTCATGGCCGTAGTTAAAACCCAAGTGTTTATTTCATGTCTCCACCTTCTTTGCATCCATAAAATTCCTCGCGGGGGCGGCGGAGCATGAGGCTGTCGTGGGAGGTGCAGGGATAGCAGCCAGTTAGGTGTCACGCCCTTGAAGGCACCTTCCAGATTTGGATCCAGCTTTTGTCAGCTCCTGACCTGCAGAGCCCAGGACTCCAGCACTGGAGGACAGTGAGCGGCCAGCATGTCCAGAATCTGAAGAATCAGAAACCGTATGCATTGCTTTCCTCCCCCTGACGTGGGAGCCTGGGTTTTTCAGTGTTTACATCGTCCTTCCCTCCCACCATTTCTCCTCCCGCAAGAGCAGTCCCCCCTTCCAGCCACATCTGACCCCAGGGAGGCAGCAAGCTTCCACTACAGACTCTGGTCTACGTAGTACTTCCCTGGACATCCCTGGGAGAAAGGACGGGCAGCCTGGGCAGCAACAGATCGGAGGCCACCTCCTGGGGACAGGCCCCTGATCCAGATGGTTCCCCTGAGGGTCTGTGATGGGCTTACCTGTTGTTCTCCACATGACCACCAGCAGACCCCTGCCCCTTGCGAGTCAGTTCAAGGGGCTGTTCCCCTCCTGACCGTTGCTGCCCCCGAGGGCTCCTCTCCCTGCAAAAGAGACCAACCCATTGTCACCCCCAGTGATGGGGACCTGGATCCTCAGGAATGGGGCAAGGATGACTGCCCTCATCATTCCTGGTCGGGGTCTAAAATCCGTTTCTGGAGCAAAGGAAACAGACACTGCCACCTCCTGCATGCACACAGCTCACCTCCCGCCCCAACACACATCCACTCCCACATGCCAGAGACACCCGCCACCCTCCCTGTCTCTCCCCAGAACACACCTTAAACACACAACTATGCTGGGGCTGCTTCATGCAGCAGGTAGGGGCCTGGCCTGTTCGAGTCACAGGGACAGCGTTTTGTTCCTGCCACTGTCTCTTGGAGCTGAGACATCCTGGACAACTTTCAGGTCCCAAGACTCCATGTGCTCAGCTGTAAAATGGGGCAAACACAGCTTCTCCTGCGCTCTCAGGGCTCCATGCCCCACCTGGGCAGCATGCTGGGGACACAGGAGAGCCAGGCCGGGCTCTGGGACGACACGCCTGTCGGGAGTGAGGGAGCACCACTGGGGGAGGACTCTGCCATGGGAGGGGCCAGGAGCACTGTGGTGGTTAGAGCACAGCATTGCTGTCGGCCAGGTCTGACGGCCTCCTGGCTCTGCCCTCCCGGGCTGAGTGACCCGGAATAAGCTACTTAAGCTTTTTTTTTTTTTAAAGATTTTATTTTTCCTTTTTCTCCCCAAAGCCCCGTGGCTTTGTTAGTTGTATATTTTTAGTTGTCCCCTTCTAGTTGTGGCATGTGGGATGCTGCCTCAGCATGGCTTGATGAGTGGTGCCAGGTCTGTGCCCAGGATCGGAACCTGCAAAACCCTGGGCCACCGAAGCAGAGCGCATGATCTTAACCACTCGGCCATGGGGCCGGCCCCAACTTAAGCTTTTTGACTCGGTTTGCTCATCAACTGTAAAGTGGCATCAGCAGCAACACGCACCTCTTTGGATTGTTGTGAGGTTCAAACTAGATAATGGACCTCAAGCACTTGGCAGATAGCAAGTTATTTACCAGTGGTCATTGTTATTAAATCAGAATCGAGTCACTCAGTCAGTCAACAAACCTCCACTGAGGACTGTGGGGAGCCAGGCTCTGCCTGGCGCTGGGGAATCAGAGCTGAGACCAACATGGCTCCAGGCCTCTGAGTCCCCAGACGTGGGGGAGCAAAGTGGGCTAGGATCCTGGGTCCAGGGGCTGGGGAGGGAGTCAGGGCGGTCTTCCCAGAGGAGGCCCCTTGGCCCTGCAGCTGGATCGGGAAGAATGAGGAGCAACGCCCAGTGGACTGGAGGACGCCCAGGCAGAGCGGACAACATGGCACCGAGACGGCAGGGGCAGGGTCTCTTCCTTAGGGAGTCATGCTCTCAGGGTCCTTGTGGTTTAAGAAAAAGCCCCTCTCTGGGGGATGTTGAGAGAAGGTGGGTGAGGTCAAGGGCCAGGGACAGTGGGGGGCCGAGTGGAGGCCTTGTAGATATTCGCCGTGAAGATCAGGCTGTGGGGACTTCACCGGGCTCTTCAGACTCACCCCCAGCTCAAAGCTGATCCCCTTAGCCGTGTCCACGGCTCCCCACTCCGGGGGAACCGAGGCCGGCCTCCTGCTGGGCCCTGCAACAGTGCTGCGACAGAGCGCGTGCTCTTCACTGTGTGGGGAGGCAGGAGAATACAAGCGGCATTAGCAGATGCTGTCTTGTAAGCCTGACCCTCCCCCCCAAAAACGCCACCCTGGTAAAGAGAGTCCCTCCGAGGCCTTCTGTCCTTGGTAAGGGACCTCCCTCTGTGCCGTCACCGGGTCCTCCCACCTCCCTGCTCAGGAGCGATTGTCCCCTTTGCAGGTCCTTCCCTGCTGTTTGCTGAGGGCCAACTCTGGGGCAGGTGCCCCACAGGGGAGGTTCAGAGGGGCCGTGGTCACTAGAGAGCTGGAAGGGACCTCAGAACTCAGCCTGTCCAACCCTCCTGCCCCTGCCCCACTCTATAGGTGGGGAAACTGAGGCCCAGAGGGGCTGGGCTGTGCCAGGTCCCACTGTGGCAGGAACAGATTCCCCGGCCATGCTCTGGCCTTCGAGCGGCTGGCGGGTGGCTGAGCAGGACCTGCTGCGATCCGTCTCAGCCACCCGCCTGCCCTGCCCCTGAGGCAGGGTCCCCCCTCTCCCATAGCCCCAGAAGCCACACCAGAGGGGTCCTGGGTCCTGCCAGACCGGGGAAGGAGAAGCCCAAATATTTAGTCTGTGCGGAAGGGAGCAGGGCTCAGATCCCGGCCCGGTGGCCCTTCCCCAGGCCGCGTGCCAGGAGCCACACCACAGAAGGCCACGAGCCACGCCCCCACCGTGTCCTGGGGCCCTGTCACAAAGATGTTTTTACACAAGCCTGTTATGGTGCCTGAGATGCCACCATCCATTATTCCTCTGGGTCTTCCTGCTGACCCCACTTCCCTGAAGTCGTAGCAGTAATAATAATTATAATCATAATCATAATCATGTCAGCAATTCATGTACACACAGGGTCACACAGTTAACACAGAGCTGTCACATCCCACTACCTCCTAACTCTGTAAGGTGGGCACTGCTATTGCCATTTCACAGAGTCCCGCCCCTCCCGGGCTGGGAGGGTGTCACTTGCCCGGGGTCACAGAGAGCGGGAGGCGCTGGACTCAGGTCCGGTCTGACTGCAGAGTCCTGGTCCCGGGCCTGGGGAGCCATCGCTGCAGGGCTGGGCTCAGACCAGCTGGGCCTGTGAGGGAGGCGCCCCAGGCTGTGGCGGAGGCCACTGTGCCCCCTCCTCCTCCTCTTTCCTCTACAGCCCGCCTGCCCCTGGCCTCAAGCCTGGCTGCAGTGTGACACCCAGATCTGGATTCCAGTGGGTCCTCAGGGAGCCTCAGACTTACCCTCCCTTCAGCATCCCCCAGTCCTGAACCCCTCAGTTCCCATCACTCCCCAGCCCGCGTGTTAGAAATGCAGATTCTCAGGCCCCGCCCCAGCTCTGGAGAATCAGACCCTCTGCGGTGGGGCCTAGCAGTGAGTGTTTAACCTCTGGGTGGTTCCAGTGCTAGAGATTGAGAACTGCTGCTCTAGCACACACATCCTACCTCTTCCTTCTCCTGTTTGACACCCTCTGTGGCTCCCCCTTACCTGCAGGATAAATCCTAGTTCCTCAGCCAGGCCCCTCTGATCTGGCCTCCGGCCCCTGTCTCCAGCCCCTCTCCCAGCCTGCTCCTCTCGACACCTACGGCCCAACACACACTCCGCTCCTTCCCCACCACCTTCCTGAGCCCCAAGCCTCTCACACATGCCATCTCCTTGCAAATCTCCAGGCTGGTGCTCACATCATCTCTCCTGCAGGTCCCTAGGGAGCCCGGAAGCTCCTGGGATCCTGCAACCCCCTCTGTCTCTGGGAAGTCCTCCCCGGCCACTCCAGGCAGACAGGACCCCAGTTTGGTACCCACAGGCCCAGGGCTCCCTGTGGGACAGCACTAGTCACCCTGTGTGGTCCTGCTTGTGCTGACATCCGCCTCCCCAACTGGTCTGTTCCAATATTCCCACGAGGGCTGGCCGGGGAGGCCCCGGTAAGCACGGAGATGAAAAGAACATGGAATTTTGGCTGCAGGGGTCAGGGGCTGCGTCTTCTAACTGACTCTGGCCGGCTTAGACCCTCTCTGGGGACGATGCCCTCGGTGCCCCCGCCACCCCTGCCTCACCACGGGCCCTGAGCAATCCCTGCCCCGTGGGCCGCTGTCTCCCTGTGGGGGGTGGGGCAAGTGGGGCAGAGGCAGCCCCTTGGGGATTTCAGCGGCCCCTGGGTCAAGGTTTCAGGGCTCCAGTTCTGCCCACTTGCTGCCCCCACATCCCCAGGAAGGATGACCCCTGCACTTGCCCAGGTCCTGCACAGCCAGGGTGTCACCTACCCACCCCTCCCAGAGACCACTTTACAGAATGGAAGGGAGGCTGGGGAAAGAGGCTCCAGCTGCACCCCCTGAGGTTCGAGTCACCCCTCACTGGGAAGGCCGGGAGGAGGTGAGCTGCCCCCTCCCCAAGCTGGGAAGACAGCTCCCCACTTCATCTCTGAGCTCCCTGGGGCCAGCAGATCAGCCAGGACTCCTCGGCATCAGCCAAGTTCCTCAACCTCTCTGTTTCCTCTGCTTTCACACGGCCGTGACCAGGCTCACCCCACACGGCTGCACACCGCAGGAGCCCAGCAAAGGCCAGCCTTCTCCCCGACACATCTTTCCTTCCATCTGCTCTGTGCAGGGTGCTGGAGACAGAGGATGCCCTCCTGGCTGTGGGGCCCCTGTCTCCTCCCGGTATTCCTGGAGATCCTGTCGATTCTTCCTGCTCTGTCTACGAAGAGGTTCTGCCTCCTGGGTGGATCTGAGGGGCTGGGAGCCCCCTCCACCCAGCCCGAGGCTTCCTGCCTGGGATTCTGCCTCACAGCTGCTTCCCCGGGAGAATTACAGACCCCTCCTCGTGTAACCAGGGCCACCCGACCCCTCCCAGCTGACCCTGCTCTCATAAACAGCCAGGCCAGACCCCCTGCCTACTCCCCATAGGGTCCAACTCTCCTCCAACTGCTCACCTATTCTGTGGGCACCGACACAGTTCCCAATGGGAGGGGCCAAGCTAGGGAGGAGCGGAGACTCCCGGAGGGGCACACCTCCCCTGTGGCCTCAGTGGTCACTTCTTGAGTGAGAGAGCTGGACCACGTGACTTCTGTCATCCTTTCTGGTCTCAAAGATAAACTGCGGGCTGGAGAGTCCGTGCTTAGTTTCTCCGGATCGCTTCAGGTATGGTGGCTGAGCTGTCAGATTAATAACGCGTGCATAAACAGACGAATGGGGAGGGGGTGGATGAATAAACTGACACATGGAAAAATGTACCCAGGGATGGAGGGATGGTTGGACAGATGGATGGATGGATGGACAGACGTTCTTTAAAAGTTGACCGAAGTCTCACCTCCCCCCAAAAACCATCCTGGATCCCCGGACTGGGTCAGGGCCTCCCCCAGACCCTGACAGCCCCTGGGCTTTTCTGTCTCAGGAGACTGAACACAGACTGGGCGGGGGTCTGGGTCATCTGTGTCCGCAAAACTCGACCCAGGACCTGCCCAGAGAGGCCTTTAGGGAAGCTCTGGACAGTGAATGGCTCAGCTCCAAACACACAGTGGTCCAGTCCGACAGGAGAGGAGCAGGACGGGAAGACCTGGGACGTCAGCGGCGGCCAGCCATAATGCCACCCTGCTGGGGACGGGGACGGTGGGTTGAGGAGGAATGCACTGCAGTTAAAAGTAACCCCCGTCAGAAGTGGTGTACCCACAACATGACTAACAATAATGTACAACTGAAATCTCACAAGCTTGTAATCTATCATAACATTAATAAAAAAAAAAAAAGTAACCCCCGTCAATGCCTTTGGTGCACTTGCCCTGTGCCAGGCACGTGCTAGACCCTTCACATATGCCGTCTTATTTAAGCAGACACTGTCGGCATCCCTGTTTTCCAGATGGAGGAGCCGAAGCATCCCACAGAGATATAGGAACTTGCCCAGGGTCACACAGCGAGGAGGTGGAGGCCAGGATTTGCACTCAGGTCTGAATGTGCTGTGCTGTGCGGTCCCAGTCAAACGCCAGGCTGGAGCTGAGGGCAGTGGGAGCCCTGGGGGCTGTGGAGGGGGGGGAATGCTCCAGATCTGTTACATACACCCTCCATCCTGGCAGAGACCAGGCACATTCAACGGGCTCCTCCAGGGAAGAAGTTGGCACCCCGGGGTCCCGGTTCCAGAAGAGTGTTTCTCATGCTCCCCCTTTTCCAACCTTCTCCCCTCCCCCCAGTTTAGAGGCTTCAGCGTATCTGCAGCTGGGGGTCCATAGGCGCTGCTGCTGCTGCCCCGGAGCAGGACAGCCTCCGCCTGGAAGCCTCCCACATAGGTGCCCTTCTGGTTCCGGACGGCTGTCCATCACCCACCCTCCTGCCCGCCCTCAGCCCCGAGTGCCCACCCTGTACCCCTCCCCTCAGCCTTCAAAGTCACATGGTCCTGAGTTTGCATCCCAGCAGCCCCCCTTATTAGCTGGGTGACCTCGGTCAGTGACTTCACATCTCTGAGCCCAGGTTTTCCCAAATATTGCTGAAATGTGAGTGATAACACAGGGCCCATCACCGAGGGGAACATGTGCCGGGTGGATGAGGCCGCCTGACTCTCACGGGCCCCCTCAGCTCCCTCCCCTCCTCTCTCAGCTCAACCCTGGGATAAATCACTCTCAGAGCTTAGGCTCCCCGGACCTGGTGTGCTTTCTTAGGTCAGACAATGCAAAGCATTTCACTCATCATTTCTTCCTTTACTGCTGTGGTTAACAGGAAGTTCTGAGCTAAACCCCATCCTAGTCACAGCCATTATAGAGGTTACTACGTGGTGACCAAGTTTACTTCCTACTCCGTCTAAGGGGTTTTAGTCAAAACCTCCACTGCATCCCTTCTTTTAAACTATCCCTAATCTTTAAAAAATTATGTGGGGAATACACTTATTTTTCAATCCTGCCTGCCATGTGCGGCTCTCTACTGTCCAGCCCAGCGTGCCTGTGCCTCTGGCCCGCCCTCGCCTCTTCCCCAGCCCACCTGTGCCTCCTCTGGCCTGCCCTCACCTCCTCCCCAGCCGCCTGGCCTCCCCACTTTCCCATGTCCATATTTCGTGTTCATACCTGTCCCCAGGTGTTTGGTTGTGCCCCAGACTAGAGTGCCTTCCTTTGCCATCTAGCAAGTGCCAAACCTTCACTCCAGGTCCAAGCCAGTGCCACTTGCTTCTCTTTTCTGAAGTCCTCCTGCCCTCCCGCCTCCCCCTCCCCACCCATCCACATTCATCGATGCCTACCTCAATGAAGGTGCTGTCTAGGGATCCTGCAGTACGCCAGAGACAAAACCTCTGCCCGCGTGGAAATTACATTCTAGCTGGGGAGAATGACCATAAACAAACAAACAAAACTTGGGTTTTTGTTTTTATCAGGTGGTGGCAAATATTGGGGAGAAGGTTAGTAGGACAGCCTGGAGGGGGTGGGGAGTCCGAGAGTGAGGAGGGCGGTTGCTGGTGGGGAAGGAGTCTGTTCTATTTAGTTGTCCAGAAACAGCTTACAGAGTGAGCCGTGTGCTTATGGTGGGGAGGTTCCAGGTGGTGGAGTTAGCGAGGGGGCGGCAGTGGAGATGAAGTCAGACAGGAGGGGGTAGGGCTGAGAGAGCACGGGAGCCACTGCAGGCTTGGGAGCAAGGGCACTCCATGATGTGCGCTGTGCTTGACGTCCCACTTCTCACCTGATCCTTCCGGCAATCCTGTGACTTAAGGCTAATTTTCAGACCCGTTTCAAAGGCAGCGGAGGCCCAGAGAGAGAAGGGACCTGCCCGAGGTCACACAGCAGTGAGGCCCTTTCTCCTGAGTCTGCAGCAGGGTGGCAGCTGGTGAGGAGAGGAGGCCTGGGGAGGAGCGTGCCCCAAGACTGCTTATTTTTCCCCAGCCTCTCCTCTCAGCATCTGCCCATAAATCACTCTGACACCCCGACGAGGGGGGTACGGACAGATTCCACATCACCTCCGTGGGTGAGCGCTTCCCAGGCCCCCGCCCTCCAGCCGAGATTGTGGTTCTTGGCTCCGGATGCTGGCCGCCCAGCCCAGGGCTCCGAATGCCGGGCCCACACCACCAGGGGAGTCATGCTTGCCCTGGGCTGGGAGGAGGGCTCTGGAGAACGGGGAGGACCCCACGGGGCCGGAGGATCTGGCCACCAGATGAAGGGTTGGAAACACTCAAGCCCTGCTGCCCAAAGATCCGGGTGAGACCCCAGTGTCCCCTGCAGGGTGTGGAGGGCGGGGCGGGCCGGAGCTCCGGGAGGGGAGGAGGGCCCCACCTCACAGCTGGGGGCCTCCTCTCCAAGTTGCCCCCCTCCCCGCCTGGCCACTGAGAGCTCCCCAGGGGTGCCGGGGGCGTCTGGGATCGTTTTGGAGCTGGTGCAGGAGCAGAGGCAGGCAGAGAGAGGGAAGACCCCCGTCAACCCCGACTGCCCTCCACCCACCCACCCCCAAGGGGGAGTCACAGCACAGGAACCATCAAATGCTTGAACCAACCAAAAGCAGGCTGGGGGCCTTTTTAGAGAAGGCCTCGTGGCTTCCCAGGCCCCTTTGTCTGACAAACCTTGGGGATTCAGGGAATGCCCATCCTCTGGGGGCTCTGAGCGGTGCTGGGACATGGTGTGATCAAGGCGCCCTGCACCCAAGGCCTTGGCAGTGGGCCCGGCAGCCCTATCCCGCCGCACCGCCTCCCCACCCGGGTCCCCCAGCACCCCATTGCTGTCCACACATGCCTCGGACTCGGCAACCACCACACCTTTGTCCAGGCTGACCCCTCTGCCAGGCACGCCCTTCCTTCCATGGGCTTCTTCAGAGTCTGCCCATCATTCCCAGGCTGAACCCAGCCCCCCACCCCCTCGCTTGTCCTCAGGCACCTGCCCACGCCACACCTCATTTCCAGGTCGGCAGTCACTGGGCACGGGTCACACCCGTTGGTAGGAGGCAGCATGGGACAAGGGAGGTGGGAAACCATGGATTCA